TCGTTTCCTTGATCACAACTCCGCAAATGAAATTTTCTTGAACAAACCCAAAACTGATTCAAATCAAGAGCTCAAATTCACCAAAGTGTTGCTGGCCATGAAATAAGGCCAACTCTACAAAATATTCTCTTTTGTACTAATACTCATGGATTTTTACACATGTATGCAACAAAAGAGACATCACCCATCAAGCAATAGTGTGGGTTAGAAAAGAATGCCTTAGGTTCAAAGGGAGGAAGATATTTTGACTAGCAAAGAGTAAGATTAAAATAGGATAATCCAAACAATATGATCCATAGTTCATGCATTGCAAGTCCACCATAAGTGAGACAATTAAAATGTTAAATTAAGTACAAATTCACATGGCTAGCATCAAATCAAGAAAATTTCAACATAAGCAAGTAAGCCGAGAGAACCACACATGGTTTTTCCATTTTTTCTGGTTTGTCAATTGCTATGTCTACTTAATAGATTACTAATCATGATTAGTTACAATATAAGGTCAATCACTGTTCCTTATACAATTAAAATGCAACCTATATGGTTTAAGATTTAATTCTAAATGCAGGTGAATCAAATGAAAATACATGAATATTTTTGAAAATTTTCAAAAAGATTTTTTTTTTGGGTTTTTGTATGCAGATAAATATGCACAATGAATGAATAAGACTGAAGATGACAAGAAAACTTCATGTTGTAACGGACGTGAGAAGGAACATATGCGGAAACAGATGAATAAAGCGATGTAACTACGACACATATATTTAACGTGGTTCACCCCTAGGGTTACGTCCACGGGCAAAGAGAGATCTTATTATTGGAGGCGGTATTGAGCTTACGGAGTGCAAGTTTAAGGTAAATTCGAATACAAGATATATATATATAATAGCATCTCACATCTAAAACCCTAGACTATACGGACTCATGGGCCTAAGCCCACAATCAGATATGACATCCATAATAACTTGATGCAACGCTTTTAATGCAACCGAGTCAGTATGGTGTACGTGATGTAGCATCCAACGCATAGATGCAACATCCAGATTCAAAGCATATCAACAAAATCTCCACCTTGACTTGAATCCTCCCAATAATAGATGTACCAGATGCACCTTCAAGTGCCAGATGTACCAGATGCTCTTCTCTGCGCCAAATGTACCAGATGCGCTTTTTTACCTCAGATGTCCCTTCGGACCAGATGTGTTGCTATGACGAACCAGACACCCTTTAACAGCCAAATGCTCAACTAGAGACAAATGTTCATCATCAGCCAGATATCCCAACGGACCAGAAGCCCCAATGGGCCAGATGCCCCAATGGGCTAGATGTCCTTACCGACCAGATGCCCCAATGGGCCAGATGTCCCAACGGACCAGATGCCCCAACGAGCCAGATATCCCAACATACCAGATGCCCCAATGGGCCAGACGTCCCAACGGGCCGGATGCTCCAACGAGCCAGATGTCCCAACGGACCATATGTCCTTACGGACCAGATCTCCCTTCGGGCCAGATGCCCCAACAGGCTGGATGTCCCAACGGGCCGGATGCCCCAACGGGTCGAGTGTCCCAACGGGCTAAATGTCCCAACGGACTAGATGTCCCAACGGACATGACACCCCAAAGGATCGAACCATATACATGGTGAGATGAACATCCGCAGCGCACAAAATAATGGTAGGTTCACTTGAAGGCATCACAATCCTTGTCAACACCTTATTGATGTAGGTCTTCTGTGACAAGAACAACTTCTTCTCCCTATCTCTGAAGATCGCCATCCTTAGAAATCTTTTTTGCTGCACCCAAATCCTTCATTTCAAATTCAGAACTCAAAATCTTCTTCAGGTATATCTCCTCCTCTAGCTGAACATAGCCTTCTTTTCCAAGAACTCGGAAACCATCCGACAGAGTCATGTATATCTCCTCCTCTAGCTATTTATGAAGACACATCGTCTTGACATCAAATTGCTCAAGCTTCATGTCCTGATGTGCTACCGGCGCTAGCAACACCCTGATGGAAGTATCTCTGACCAGAAATGATAATACTTCATTGTAGTCTACTATTTCTCTCTGATGGAACCCTCTTGCAACAACCCAAACTTTATACTTAATTCCTTCAGTCGGTGATGCTCCATCCTTAATCTTGAAGACCCACTTGCATGTATCATCCATTCTCCCAATGATAATGTGACCAGATCCCATGTATGATTCTTATGATGAGACTCCACATCTCTCATTGCAAGATGCCATTTCTCAGACTCAGGACTAGAAATGGCTTCCATGTAAGTGGATGACGCATCCACTTCCTCTGCAACCTAAAGCATAACCCACCATACCGTCAAAGCGATATCCTCTAGTGGCCTGACATCAACAATTTTTTGTCGATCCTTCGCGATGCCACGCTCTGTAACATTCGGCGGTTGAGTCTTCGTAGACTCCAACTGAACTTCTTCTACACACTCCTCTTGATTTTTTGTGTGTTCCTGCACATCGATCACTTCATGATCATCTTGTAGCTCTATTTGTTTATCAGTGCTACCCTTTTCTTCTTTAGAACTGGACACTCTGATTCTAACCATAGATGTTTCATCAAAGACAACATTCCTACTAAAAATTACTCGGTTTTCTGATGGAAACCAGACTTTGCGTCCCTTTACTCCATCACTGTAGCCCATAAACACTCCTAAAACTAAATATTCAGCAGATCTACCTGACCACACCTCATATAGTATTTTTCACTTGATTCCTGTGTGGGAACTAAGATTAATCAAGTAGCAAGCCGTGTTAACTGCTTCAGCCCAAAACCACTTCTCCAAACTAGTACTCGAGAGCATGCACATCGCTCTCTCTAGCATTACATGGTTCATCTGTTTTGCAACACCATCCCGCTGTGGTGTTTTTCTATCTATAAGATGCTTGGAAATTGTTGCATCCTTACACGGCTGTTTGACCTCTTCCAAGCAGAATTCCAAGCCAATATCGGAACGAAGAAGATCTTTCTTTGACAGATGTCGCATCCCACGTTCACCCATATGTCCAAGCCTCATATGCCATAGCTTAGTCATATCTTCCTCTGGGATCTCTGGCGATGCATCATTTGCTGAACCGGTAATTGTTGTACCCTTCAACAAATAAAGAGTACCATTCATTAAAACCCTTCAGAATCACATTAGGATCCCTGTAGACATTCAGAACTCCATTGCCACCCGAATATTTGAACCCTCTACTATCCAGAAGAGTCACAGATATCAAATTCTTTGTTATTGATGGAACATGCCTAACCTTCTTCAATGTGCAGAATCTACCATCATGTTTCATGAGCTTGATTGAGCCGATCCCAGCAATCTTGCAGACAACATCATTTGCCATCTTAATCTTGCTGTCAATACCTCTGTGTACTCTGAAAACCAGTGGTGTCATATGGTAGGATGCTCCTATGTCAAAAAAATCACACATTAAAAGAATGTGTGTGTCTATGCACAACAAGAGCGATGTCATCATAACACTTGGTTTCATCTTCGACTACTGCAACAGACCCAAACTGCTGCTGCTTCATCTTGGGACAATCTGACTTCCAATGTCTCTTGTCTTTCCAATAGTTGCAAATATCAGATGGCTTAGGACCCCTTGGAAACGATTTCCTATCTTTCGAAGTCCTTATATTTCCATGTCCCTTCACACTACTGACAAACAATCCCGAAGCTTGATTGTCTGTCCCTGAGTTGGATGCCTTATGGTACAATTCCCGACTATGAATCGCCAGCCTAACTTCTTCCAGTTTCACTATATCTTTGCCAACAATGAACGATTCACAAAGTTCTCGAAGGAGTTCGCCAGAGATACCAACAGCATTAATGCAGTGTCATCATCCTCCACCTTAACATCGATGTTACACAGTTCCAGTAATATCGAATTTAACTTGTCAAGGTGATCGCGAAGCTCAATACCTTCTTGCATACGCAAAGCGAAGAGGCGTTGCTTAAGAAGTAGCTTGTTATTTAGAGATTTTTTCATATACAAAGTCTCCAACTTCTGCCACAAACTAGCAGCGGTTTTCTCATCCGACACTTTGATGATGACCTCGTCTACTAGACACAACAAAATTGTTGAGAACGCTTTCTCTTTCAGAGCCTCCATAACAGCAGCATCAGATTTATTTCCTGAAAATGGTCCCCAGATGCCTTGTTGCTTCAACAATGTCTGCATCTTGATCTGCCAAAGACTGAAGTTATTTCTCCCATCAAACTTTTCAATTTTCGCGTTTATCCTAGTCATCTTCTCACCAGATCACCAACCCCGAGTTCTGATACCAGTTTGTTGTAACGGACATGAAAAGGAACATATGTGGAAACAAATAAATAAAGTAATGTAACTACGACACAGATATTTAACGTGGTTCACCCCTAGGATTACGTCCACATGCAAAGAGATATCTTATTATTAGAGGCGATATTGAGACTACAGAGTGTAAGTTTAGGGTTACTTTGAATACAAGATATATAGTAGCATCTCGCATCTAAAACCCTAAACTATACAGACTCATAGGCCTAAGCCCACAATCAGATGTAACATTCATAATAACTTTATACAACGCTCTTGATGCAACTGAGTCAGTATGGTATACATGATATAGCATCCACCACATAGATGTACCATCCAGATTTAAGACATATCAACACTTCAAATAATTCACAGTCTTTTGTTTGAAAATAAACTTGGAAGAAAAGACCTAAACGAAAGAAAAATGAAAAATGGAGTATAGAACTAATAAAAAAGAGAATATAGGATTTACTTGGAGTGTGAGATGAAGTTGTGAGGATGAGTAATGAGATAATTGGAATGAGGATGAGAGTAGCCCATAATTTGTTTTTCTTTAGTTCGACACGTTTGTTCGGCTCTGCGCCTCTACAATTGTTGGGCTTAGCGTTGGGTTTTGACCCACTTAATAAAATTCTGTTGACAAAAACAAAAAAAACTTTCATCAATCTCTTTGTTTGGTCGGAAGAATCCATGGCTTCTCTCATGTGGCAAACGCCTCCAACACTTTCTTCACCTAGGAAGCTCGGTCTATTTCTTCTTCAACATAATCCTCTCACCTCTATAATCTCTTTACCGACCCATAAAAGAAATCCAAGCTATCTTACTCTCAATCTCTGTCGCTGCTCATCGTCGTCAGCCATGACAGTGCCGAGCAGCCCAAAGAAGAAGAGAACAAAGTACAGGAAACAGTACCCAGGAGAGAGCGTTGGGATAACCGAAGAAATGAGATTCGTCGCCATGAGATTACGCAACGCTAATGTAAAGAAAGTAGACCCTGAAAACGACGAGGAAGGAGAGAAAGGCGATGATGAGTTGGAGGGAGAGACATGGAGTCCGAGCAAGGAAGGCTTTCTTAACTTCTTGGTTGATAGCAAGCTTGTCTTCGACACTATCGAACGTATTGTAGACGAATCCGAGGATGTGTCCTGTAAGAAAATCTCTTTTCTTTGGTTCTCGATTTTCAGTTAATTTATTTGGATTTTATTAATTATTCTTTCGCAAGTATGCAGATGCTTACTTTAGGAGAACAGGGTTGGAGCGAGGTGAGGGTCTTGAGAGAGATCTAGAATGGTTTAGAACAGCACAAGATATGGCGATACCGGAACCAAGTCAGGTTGGAGTAGCGTATGCAAAGTACTTGGAAGAAGAGGCAAAAGAGAATGCATCTTTGTTTCTTTCTCATTTCTACAGTATCTACTTCTCACACATCGCTGGTGGTCAAGTTATAGTAAGACAGGTAAGTTTCTTGATAATGATTAGATAGATTTATCTGATTAAGTGTTCTTCAGAGTTCAAGATTAGTATAGATATAAGTAGACTCAAGAATCAGGAGAGCTTGAGGTTATTGAAGAAGAATGGTAGAATGTGATAAGACTTTTCTTTCTTCGCTGAGACCTGACTAACAAATAACACAATTAATCAAGACCAAGCTTGCTCCTTTTGTCTTCAGATTTAAATATGTATAATGATCCTAGGATCTTTTGCTTTGTTCTTTTCGTTTATATTGCATTGATACTTTGAAGGTATCAGAGAAGCTTCTCGAAGGGAAAGAACTGGATTTTAATAGGTGGGAAGGGGATGCACAAGACTTGCTTAAAGGCGTCCGTGAGAAGCTCAATGTACTCGGGGAGGTGAGAGGGTCAATGCTATTATTACAACTCTTCCATTTGCTAAAACTATAGTAAGTTTCTCTCAATGTATTTTTTTTTGTTATCTGACTTGATGCGTTTTGGGAATTGATAAAGCATTGGACTCGGGACGAGAAAAACAAATGCTTGAAGGAAACCGCAAAGGCATATAAGTATATGGGGCAGATAGTTCGCTTGATCGTCTTGTAAAACAACAAAACCGTTCGCAGTACCAGGGAGGCCTCCTTTTCACTACTCAGTATGGTCTAGTGTGAAATGATTTCAAAACGTTCATGTTAAAGAAATTTCAGATTGCATTCCTCACGAGCGACCAACCTAGTGTCTGTGTGGCCAAAGAGTTTGTGTGCTTTGGTTTGAGGAATCCTTGATGAGATATTGTTGTTGCTTAGTTTAAGTCCTTTTTGCACTTGAAAACAAGCACCAAGTATCTAATCATTTCATTTTCTTAAATATATTTTTGTTTAAAACAATCTTGTTGTCGATCTTGGCATGGGGGCACAGATTGACATTGCCATGCACTGCGAAGCTCTCGTTGACATTAGCTTATTTCCTCCTAGCATATGAAGATCTTTGGATTGGTTGTAAGTTTAGAAACCTAACAGTTGGTGAAAAATGTTTTTAAGCGAGAAAAAGGTGTTTTATGTACGATTTAAACTAATGGGCTTAAATTAGGCTCATGGGCTTAGTTAGACCCATTTAACAACGGATAATTTAACGCTTGTGCTGTCCGATCATCCGGGCATATGCTCAGATACTGACACGGCAACACCACCACCATCGTTTTGTACATGCAACCATTGCATCTTGGCCTCCTTGCCCTCTCCGGATCCACGTATGCTAACTCGGTGTTGACATGTTGTCCCATCCATTGATTCTGGCTACACACAACAGCCCTTCCTCCTCCGCTGTAGTATCTTACGCCCGCACACCGCCACCTCCGCGTATGTCAATGGCCTGCTGCAGCTGGGTCTATCCTTCTAAAATGGATTTTTAACTCTAAAATACCTCTAACTAAATTTGTTTTGGGTAAAAACTTCAAACTAACAAGTAAATTCTCATATTAACTTTATTTAATGTATTAATTTTTCGCCAATCATAATTATCTTACTACTGATAAATCTTTAGTTTAAGAATTTCTACATAAAATAAATATAGTTGAATGGTTTTATCATTCAAATTCTAAAAAAAATATTATAACATTACCTAAATATTAGTAACTTAAATTTTTAAAAATTAGCATTTGTAAAACTTGCCGTAAATATATGAGTTTGATTTTTTTACATAAACATTATATATATATATATATAGATAATATATATATATATAGATATATATAAATTAAAATTGTAAAACACCAAAATATAATAAAAATCAACTAAAAATTTATTATTGCATTTTTATTAGATAAGATATAACTTTTATTTTGTTTTCTTATTTTTTACATTTATAAATCTTTGATAGTTTTTATTACAGGTAAATCTGTAGAGAATTTTTGTTATATTTTATGGATTTTTACATTTTAAGTTTATACATATATAATGTTGATTTTAAAAGGATAACAAATCAGACTCATATATTTACAAAAAAAAAATGGTAGTTTTGAAAATTAAAATTACAAATTTTTAGATATTGTTATTAGATTTTGAAGTTTTTTATTTTTATTTTTAATGATAAAACCCTTAAACTAAAAATTTATCGATGGTATTGATAATTATGACTAGCGAGGATTTAATTTATTAAATAAAATTAGTTTATGCATTTTTTTGTTAAAAATTAAATTTATGATTTTTTATCCAAAACAAACTTAATTGAAGGGTTTTAATGTTAAAAATTCATGTTATTTTCAACGATATCTCATTATATACACAAAATATACGTGTTGAATTTTTGGATCTTTTGCAAGAAGGGACGGTTCATTAAGACGGATGGGTTATCCAAACTAAAATAACCTCTTGGTATAATCAGTGGTTTCATGATATCGATTGACTGGTGGAACAGACAGTAGAACAATTCTAGTTACTAGTAAAACTGTAGAAGTAATATGATGCAAAATTTTGCGCTCTGGTTTATAGGCACACTTACATGATTAGTACCTATAAATAATTAATATAAATATCAATATAAAAGTCATCAAATATATAATATATTTACTTAAACGTATATCATATTTGTATTTATATTGATAATAGGTATTTTTAAAGAGTTTCAAAATATTTATCTTATTTAACTATATTATTAAGTTCAATTATATTTATATTTTAAATTATCTAACACTATGTTATTACTCTTATAAATCATATATTTTGATACCACTATACTAAATTATTTTCCAAACGTTAGATATTTTAAAAGTTAAAAACTACCAAAATAAATATGTGAAATGATAAGAATGCAACAAACACTAGTAGATTCTAAATGTTTTCTTAATGTTTTAGTAACAAATACAATCGAGATTCTAAGAGCAACATTATTAGATGTTTTATTAACAAAGACAATCGAGATTCTAGATGTATTCTAAGAGCATTATTGTCCAAGATATGGAGAACAGAAGAATCTGTAAATCATGCCATCTTTGATTGTCCCCCAGCTCTACAAGTGTGGTCTCCTGCAGAAAGAACATCATCGATAAACGAGAATTAGATACGGATCCTTATCCCTGGATAATATGGTTCATATGAAAGGCACGAAATGACAAACTTTTCAGAGATTGATAGAGATCCATTGGAGTTAGTTCGTTATGTAGAGAGTGAATCCCAAGTTTGGTTTAGTGCGAATGAGATGGTGCCACCAGTGATACGAGCCCACATACCGAGGAATCCCAAATCATATGCTGGGTAATATCTGTATGATTGATGGATCATGGACATCAATAACAAGGTTTAGTGGGTGTGGATGAGTTTGGATGGATAGCTTTGAGAAGGTTCCACTACATTAGACGAGAATCAATCTTGTATTCTGAAGTAGAAGCATTGCGATGAACGATGCAGAATATGTTTCAACATTCGACATATCAGAGTTTTGGAACAGATTGTAAGGACCTGATCGCCATGATTAAGGATCCTCATGTCTGCCCAAGCTTTACAACAGAATTAGAAATGATAGAGACCTTGCATATATACTTTCTAGACTTCAAGACCATGCACGTTCCATGAGAGCATAATCATATTTTCAACTTTTTAGCTAACACCGCTAAATTTTTCCATAGAGAACTTTGTTTTATTGGTTGTTCAATTCCGGTCTACTTATCCAGACCACCTCAAATTTAAGTAATTTAAAATCTTTAGTAACATACACTCTTTGAAGGATCTTTGATCATATTACAACACATAATACGTATGGCAATGAAGGCTCTCAAGTTTTTCTCGCCACCCAAACATTCGAATCATCGACAACAGGACGTTCTTATTGTATAAGAGACTTCATAAAGTTTCAGCCTGGTCAAAAGATTGAAGCTCCTCGCCCATTTTCTGAAGTGCTTCTTTGCTGATCTCAACTTTACGGACAGAAGCCGGGAAAATCATGTTCTTGTCGGATTCTGAGCTGGAAGAAAAATTACCGCATAGCTTTGATTTCATATCTAAGCAAGATTTGAGATCCTCTTCGATTCTTGCTTTGTTCTGTTTGTCGATTATTTCATTTAAAGTTGAAGTTTTCTCTTCTAATTTACGTCTTTTGAACCTTCTTTTGATGTCATCTTGATCATCAGATTTCCCACCAGGTTTCTGAACCTTCACCAAACCGGCTTTGACAGTCTCTGTGATCCTCTTCTTGAAGCCCTCCGCTCTTGCGGAGTTCGATCTCAGCCTGAGTTTAAGCTCTGAAACAGTTCTTTCCTCGCTGTTTCGCTCAGAAGCTGCTGGTTCCTCTTCAGAAACAGATGCCAATAAAAAGGCTTCTTCTAGTAGATTGACATTACTCATGTACCGATCAAAAGCTTCATTTTCCACTTCAATGTTTCTGTCTCTGTACTCTTTTAGCTTTGTAAACCGCCAGTCGTTTAACGCTTGAGCATCCTAGAGAATGTAGACAGAAGATAAACTGATAAAGAGTAAAACAACGAGTAGGAGGCTTTTCTAACAATCTTCATTTGTGTGTGTACCTTTATGGTCAAAGGCTTTCTCTGGCGAGAAACGGCATTCAGGTTATTAAACTGAGCAAAGTTGCTAGAAAGTTGGCGGATTGATGAACCTCTACTTGTACTCCTGAATCAGTTTCCCCAAAAAAGTTTATAATCAAAACCAAAGGAACCATCTTTTATTTCCACACATGAACATACACACACATATACAATCTCAATATCAAGTACAAGTAACAAAGTAAGCGCAGACGTTTATCATCATTTGCTTGCCAAAAAAAAAACAATGAAGACAGAATATAAGAATAATGGCTTGGTATATATGTACCCGGGAGTGCCCTCTGATGCTTTCTGATCTGATGATGGGGTACTTGGTGCCGTCTTCTCAGCAGTCGTCACAACTCCTTTAAGAACTGCATGGACAAGAACTCAAAGCCGAAAATTCAAAAAAAGTCCAATGTTAACATCGCAGCGAATTACATGCAACTCTAAAACAAAACAGTCTTATGACACTCTTTCTTTGTTTCAGGTTCTCTATTGGCTTGATTGGTCAGAAACTATCACAATAAACTCTAAAGCTGATCTCTTTGACTGTGACTAATTAATAACTATCATCTCAGATTTGGGGGAAAAAGAAGCATACCGTGAATTGGGCAGGGGTTCTCAGCTCTTGAACAGCAACCCTTACAAGATTGAAACGGACATCTGCAATAAAGCTCAAAACTTTAAAACAAGATCACAAGAGAAGACAAGAAAGTGTCAAACTTTGACAAATCTAAAACAACAGATGTAGTTCAAGGAGAAAGAGAGTATGCCTGGAGCGAGCGACGTTGCCGCATTGGATACACTTGGGTTTGTTGAGGCCACGGAGAGTTCTGGGAGGCGTGACGCCGGCGGAGAAACCATTGTTACTCAGAGACGGTGACGAAGTCGCCATCTTTATTCAGCAGAGGGCAGATATGTAACGGTCAAAATATAAAACCGTTATCCACAAAGCAGACAACGCCCAAAACTCGTCAAGTAACAGATTTTGCTATCGAAAGTGTTTTTTTTTTCTTTTCTTTTTTTTGTCGATCGCTCTCTCTTCTCCTCTGCGATTTTGATTTAGCGGCGGGTCTAGGGCTCCGGTTATTTAAATTGCCACGTGACTCGTTTTTATGGGCCTTGATCAAAACCCATTGCCTTTTTTTTCGTTACATCGAACCCGATTTAACCAAAAACCAGATTATTCATATATGAATTTCTTTCCCTAGAAATATATCTTCATAGCAATAAAAAAAAGTCAAAAAACTTTATTTTATTTTAAATCACTAATAGTTACCAATCACTAAAAGTTACCAATTTTATAAATTTATAAAATCCAATTCATGAATATGACATACACATTTTGGAGAAACTTCTTAAACGTACATACAAATTACATGGAGGAAGTGTATTTACACATTTATGAAAGTTCATGAATTAATAAATTCATAATGATATTATATACGTTCAAAATATTTTTTTTTAACTTATATATATATATATATATGAATGTTTTCCTAATTCTTTTAAGGGAATTTGCTAATAATACCACTTTCCTTGTACACATTTTTTTAACTTTACACTAACCACTTTTACCTTTAAAATTTTAATAGGAAAATTATCATCCTATCCCTAGTTAATTAGGAGATGCTAAAGACGAGGGGAGTTTCGTTTAGTAACGAGGAAGCGGCGGCGGCACAATTCAAGATCGGTGTCTAGTCGGAGTAGTGATCGGAATGGACTTTGAGATGCTGCTTCATCGGAGCTCGCAGGATTTGATCTGATTTACCCTTCGCTGTTGGCACAGATTCGAGCGGTGAGCTGTTCTGCGAAGCAAATTGGGCTTTCGATGTGAGCGAGACGCGGAGGTCGCGGCGGGGTTCCAGCGGAGAGAAGGAAGCTAATGGCTTCGGGTTCCCCGTTGTTGGCGAGCCGATGGTGATGAGTACAATGATGAAGATAATACTTTGGTGTTGTTGGGGATTGATTGTGTTGCAATGTAGTTTCAGATGTACAAAACTGCTGCATGTAGTTTCCATGATCTCTATCAATAAATTTTCCCGTGTCACAAACAGTCACGTTTCTTATGATTTTCCTTGTGTATATCTTTGCAAGTTTCTGATTCGGAGCCTTTGTTCAGCACTTTCTTTCCTGGAAGTGAACTACCTTCGTGGTTCGTTCATGAAGTCGTTGGATCTATGTCAGAGGTCATAATGCCTCCACATTGGCACGACAATGGGCTTGCGGATCAAGCTTTATGTGCTGTTATCTCATTTCCAGACTCCAGACTCCCAAGAACAAATCAAACCATTGTCAACGAAATGTACATTCAAGCTAGAAGTAAAAGAAGGTTTGTGGATAGACTTTTCTTTACCAGTTGGAAGTTCGAATAATGAGGAAAATATTGCATCAGAGCATGTCTTTATAGGGTATATGAGTTGTTCGAAGATCTTTAAACGTCTTGAAAGCCAGCATTTTATCAGCTCTGATCCTACGAAGTCATCCACTTTATCTAGTAACTGTAGTCCTACCACGGCCTCCCTTCAATTCATGGTCACAGATGGTACGAGCAAGATACCAAGGCTTGAGGTGCTCAAGTGTGGCTTAAGGTTAGTTCACTGATAGGAGCCACTTAAAACGTTTTCTTTGAAATCTAGAGTTTTTTATTTATTTTTAACCATCTTAATTTCCTTTTGTAATCATGTTGCAGGTTATTTAGAGGTGGTGGGAGCAGTGGAGGGTTTTTAAAGAAGCTGGAAGTAAAGGAAGTTGAACAGAATCTAAGTGCACAAAAGTTATCAGAAAATCGGACGAGTGAATCAGGTACCACTACAGAGGTTGCTGAAAATGGTAACAATGCTGAACAGAGCTCAGAGACGGTTACCACAGAGGTTACGGCTTCACCAGAAAATGCTAACAATGCATGATTGGGAGTCGAGACATCCATAACCCCACGTGCAGCTCAACCACACCCATCAAATAAAACTTCGAATTGGGTATGTTTTGCTTGTTTTGACTTCCAAAAACATCCATGAACAATGGAAGAAAGTGATAGCACAAGTCTAGAGAAAAGTAGCCAAGAATTTCCAGTGACATAAAAGATTCCAAAGATTCGGAGACTTGGTGTGTTTGTAAGAAGAAACCAACGACTTTGGGATTTAAATAGGATGGTTTGCTTTTTACTCACCGGCATGGATATTTTTGGTCTTCGGGTATTAAGTTCTTCATTGTTGTGTGAACGCGTTTTACATTTCAATGTGTGGATGGGTTTCGTTAGTGTTTCCTCGGAGTCTTATGTCAAGCTCTAGCCAAAGCATAAAGGCTCTGGAATTTTTATGGTTTGTTTGCTTAGTTTTTGTTTTAATCTTCTTCTCTTCTTTTCTATTTTGATCCCAAGCCTTTTCTTGTTAACTGTTGCAGTTGAGTGGTCTTTTTCTTTTAGCCTTATATGCTCCTCGTCTCCTCTTTCCAGAGAAAATCAACCTTTACTTCTGGTTGATGGGCCTAAATAGTTAGGATTGAGTTAAGTTTCTCTTTTGGATTAATCAATTTTTTCTACGTATGAAATTTCAGTTAGTTAAGCTAGTAGCGGTTAACATTTGAAGGATACTCTTGCCGCTAACATTCCACTCAATGAGTGTTAGTACAAATGAATCCGACGACATAAGAATGACTGGGCGTCACCAGCTTTTTATCTGAGGGAAGGTGGATTATGGATAGTGTGCTTTTTCTTCTGATGAGTACATGTGAACCACACACTCTCACTTCCCTTAAAACAATTTATAATCTTCATAAAATAATTTATAAGAGTTTTCATTTAGAAGAGTTTATAAATCATTTATAAAAATATATAAATTCTTACAAAAATTCATAAGTGGATCCTTATAAAGGTATTTATAAGTGTTTATAATTCTCTTATCAGTGTTTGAAATTATTTACCAAATCATTTTCTAACCAAATGCATCATGAATGTATGTGTAGTTATAGAATTCATAAATGATTTTGCAATGCTTTAAATCATCTTGTAAGGGTTTTTTGTTTTGTTTTTTGACATCATCTTGTAAGGGTTTATAAGAGATTTTTCGTTTATGTTCATGGCTTTATAAGAGTTGATCAATCAAATATGAAAGTTTAAAATCATTTTATAAAGTTTTGAAAACTATTATAAGGGTTTATAAAACCATGTACAAGAACTTATCACCCATTTATAAGAGTTTATAAATCTATTTACAAAGTTTATAAATCTATTTATAAGAATTTATACAAAATATTAAAAGAGTTTAGTAATCTTCATAAAACAATTTATAAGAGTTATCATTTAGAAGAGTTTATAAATCATTTATAAAAATATATAAATTCTTACAAAAATTCATAAGTGGGTCCTTATAAAGGTATTTATAAGGGTTTATAAATTTATTTATTAGAATTTATAAATTGATTTATAAATGAATTTGTAATGGTTTATAAATGGATTTACAAGTGTCTATAAACTAATTTATAAATGTTTATAAACTGAAATAGAATAAACTGAATTTTTTTATGTGTTATAAAATGATTTATAAAGGTTTATAGATTGATTTGTAAGAATTTATTTGCCCGATCCCAAGAACTACTAGGATCGAAAATCTCAATGAGAACATTGGAGTTTTGTTTGTGAAACTCACTCCTGAAGATGTCTGAACTAGTGACCATTGGCCACCCATATTCCATGAAAGGAGAAAGGTTCAGTAACATAGTGCCTAACTTTAAGAACTCAGACACTCCACCATTGTCTTCTTGGAGAACTGCTTTAACGTCATTTGAAAGTTTCTCGGGCTATGGTAGTACAATGAGCTTTCTTGCCGGAAGCTCCGCTACTGTAAAATGAAGAGTTGATAAATAATATAAAAACTTTTAAATACTTACTAAGGAAATATCAAAATTTTGCACATTTATAAGATTTTATTAAATGATTTATAAGGGTTTAAAATTTTATTTATTAGAATTTATAAAGTGATCTATAAGGGTTTATAAATTGACAACATTCACCCTTTAGTTGCAACAGAGACTAGAAGAATGCAAACTGTGTAGAGATACTGACTCAGCAAAAAAAAAACAAAATCAGAGGGCAGGTTGGATTATATCCTTTGAAGGAAATTCAATATAGCCACAGAGACGCCAGCAAGCTCCTGTGTGGAATAGAGACTTCTCAAAGGCCCAGATGTCACCTACAAGCACCTGCAGAAGCAACAAACTTGTAACTCAGGTGCAGTTCTTAAAAAAAAAACTCATCAAATCATAGGAAACAACTGACATAGGAAGCAAAAATGCAAGAAAGATCAACAGAAACTGAGTTATTTAACACACCGCTTTTAATTCAACAGATTTCAAAAAACATTAGAAAGACTTACAGAAAAATGATTAGACATCATAGGTGATGGATCGCATGTTCCAGGAGTAATTTGCCACTGCTTAACTCACCCCTGAAGCCCCTAGATATGCTTCCACTTCTGCAATTTCCAGTAGCAGCACTGATCAAAACCTAAAGCTATGGATGATAAAAATAAATAATAAATAGAGAGTAGATGCTATGGTACCCCCCATTCCTCGAGGGGAACACCTTGGGATGCAGATGGTTTACAATTCTCTTTGGTGAAAGGATCAATAGGTGCTTTCTGTTGCATATAAGATGACAACAATTCTATAAAATAACATTCACAAAAAAAAGAAGAAGAAGGTAGTATGGAGCATGAGATAGAAGGGGATACCCTTCCATGGGAAGCTTCTTCTCTGACATAAGACCATAAAAGTATCCCCAACCGTACCTGTAATTCCAAATAAAAATAAAAGTAACATTTGGGAAAACTATAAAATAAATCACATTTTTGGCATATAAAGAAAAGCATACCATTTTAATGGCTTCACGAAAGGTGATAGTGAATTCTTTCAATTTATTAGCATGGTAGTTCAACCTCCTCCTCCATGTGTGTGCCGGCAGAGCAGCACTATCGAAATCAAGCTACATAAAGCAGATAATATTCAAAATCCAAAGGATTTAACCCAAAAAAAAGAAGAGAAAGTGGACATACTAATTGTATAAACTCATATGAATTGATTTATGAACTCTTATAAATAAAGGGGAGTTATGATCAGTAATGTTTTAATATGCTTTTTAATCCATATAAATGATTTTATTAACCCTTAAAAATGATTAAGTTAATTCTTAAATGATCTATAAAAAGGTTTATAAAATTCTGAAAATAGTCCATAAACCTTTGTAAATCATTTATTAAAGATTCATCACTCTTATAAACTCTTATAAATCCGTGTAAGAGTCTTCTTCTCCCGTTTCATCCTCGGTTGTCATGTCCATAGCTGTTTGTATTTGTTTAGGAGAATGATCTTGTAAATTGGAAGTCTCCACTCTGCAAAAGAAGGCATCACTGTGTGAACAAGAGAAGCTTTGCGCGTCTCCACTCTTATCTCAGCTTGTGATTGTGAAGTTGCAGGTTTCTGCAAAGGGATGTGTTCAGTTACTGGAGGAGAAGGCACCACAGTGTGAACAAGAGAAGCTCCATGCTTATCTGCTCTAAACTCAGCTTGTCTTTGAGAAGTTTCTGCAAAATGCGATGTTCAGGTAAATGAACACAAGGAACCATTGTGTGAAGAGGAGTAGCTTTTTCCATATCTGCAATACTCTCTCTTAAGTCAGCTTGTAACTGAGAAGTTGCAGGCTTCTGCAAAACTAAACGCTCGTGTAGAGGAAGAGAAGGCACTGCTGTATGAAGTGGAGTAGTTTCGTGCTTATCTGCTACTACATCTCCTAACACAGCCTGTGATTGAGAAGTTGCAGGCTTCTGAAAAGTGAATCTTCAGGTCGAGGAAGAGGAGTAGCTCCATATATATCCGCAGCAATAACATCTCTTAACGCAAATAGTGATTGACAAGTTACCGGCTTTTGTACAATAAAATGTTCATGTCATGGAAAAGAAGGCACCACCACATGAGCAGTTTCTTGAGTATCAGCAACAACAAAGTCTGTTTGGTTTTAGATTGTAAAAAAGATATCTCTCATATTGTTTAGATTGTCCTTCATTCTCTGTAGCAACATTGACGATTTATAGTCTTGTAAATATATAAGAGCCTTTATTAAAGCTTCTGATCTTTCACGCTTCTCTTTTGTAACATGATATAAAAACCCCTTATAAATGGTAAATACACATTTATAAATAACTTATTAACTCTTATAAATTGATTTATAAACCCTTATAATTCTTTTGTAAACTCTTATAAATAAATGGGACTTATGAGTAATGTTTTAATATGATTTTTAGTCCATACAAATGATTTTATTAACCCTTATAATGATTTATAAAGTCTTATAAATGGTTTATAAAATTCTAAAAAATGATATATAAACCTTTATAATCAATTTTACTAGATCTTATAAATGATTTATAAACCTTTTTATTTTGCATACTCTTATACAGAGGCGGACCCACGTAGCAGGAAGGGGTGTCACCTGCCACATGTTAAATATAAAATTTAGATATTTATTCATTGAACATAACGAGAATGTGGTTTAGTTGGCTTAGAGCTTCTTCTCGCGACCCCCCGTTCCTGGGTTCGAAACCAACACTGGGCTTAAACCCAAACTCTGCCCCCCCCCCCCCCAAAAAAATAGGGCTGGGTCTGCCATTTCTCTTATAAATTGTTTTTTATAAGGCTTTATAAAAATGGCTATATACTCGTGTCTTCTATTTATATAATGAAGGGTTTACTCACACATAAGGCCACCACGTCACCAATTCGTTCAACCTCAGCGTGACACATGTCCACTAACAAAGCATGCAGACCGAACTTAGTATATAATATTGAGACCTTATAATTTGTATCTACACATATATAAACTAATTATAGGGGTTATAAGGTTATTTATTAATTTTAATAAATTCACTTTGGATTTATAAGAATTTATAAAGCTTTATAAATGACTTAAACAATGATTTATTAACCAACTAGGGTCGGCCCGCCCTACGGGAGGAATATACTTTACTTATGATCTAAATTACTATATTTTGTTTGATTTTGTGGTTTGCATTTTAGGTTTTGTATATGTAATATATATGTATGATAATGATTTTTTTCTTTTAGGAAATTTTTGGTGAGGAGATATTATAAATGGTAAGATTGTTCTTGTTTAATAGCTGTTTTATATCAAATAGTTTGATATTGAAATGTTATGAGGGTTTCAAATGGTTTTCATGTTGTTTTCTTAATAGAATTGATTCCATATTTGATGTCAAAATGATTTTTTTCTTACTATTAAATCTTGTAGAAATTAAATAAAGATTTTCTTATTAACTCTCATACGCTGAGTTAGTTATCGATCTGAATTGAACGGTTTTGAGATATTTCAATTTTTCTATGTTACAATTGAAATAAAAAACATATAAAACACACTGGTTAAATTTTAAAAGTGTGTTAATGAGAATCCTAAACAACGATCCTTTGCAGAACATATAGACTTGGCTACTATACTATGATGTTTCCACTTTTGAACTAAGTTTTTGTCTAAAAATATATATATACAATTAATAGTTCTACAATTATAATCACAGTGACATCATTCACAATTTACATTTTCAATGTAGCTATTATAAATTATCTCAAAACATAAATTATGGATTTTTAGATTTTAAAACATTTAAAAAACCAATTTATACTTTTTTATAGATTTTCTAGATATAGGCATCCATATATTTTGTTACGTGAACCTTCGTTTAGCTAGACATTATGTTTTTAATCTTTAGGGTATCTTTAAAAGTTTTACGGGTTTTCTTCTTATAAATTTTCAAGATACAGACATCCATATATTTTCGTACAGAACTTCAGCTGTTTTTAACAACATTACATGCCCCTCAGTTTATACTTTATTAAATTTTAATTTTACTTTTCTTTAAAAATATTAAAAAGTTTTTCAATGAATGAAAAGTAGATTTTCTTACACACCAACAAACCATGATGCAACTACTGTCGCTCCTGATGCTAGTGACCAGTGACCACCGATAGCACGCTGGATCATGTACCACCGTTCCCTCTGCAAACAATATCGAGAATCGCAACAGCTATTGCAAACGAAGAGTAAATACACCGTGTTGGCCACAAATTTCAAAAGTAAGTTTAAAAACTTTTATGCCTGCAAATTGCGAAAACTTCTCAGCTGCACCACTTGAAAGAGGGAGAGATCAATTTGACATCTCAAACCACACCAAACACTAAACTAACATTAAAGTAACATTTGTTTGTATATACCAGGAAAAAAAATCCTTTGTCTTATTTTGTAACATAAATGCAAAATCAAGAAGAAATTTAAAACCTTTTATTTATCGTGAATGAAAATACAAAAGAAAAGGCTTCATCCATAACATCAGAAGTTTTTAGGTTACTGAGATCAAATAATAAATGCAAAAAGAAAATACATAAAAATTGATAGTCTCGTCTTTAAAAACAACATTTAATGGGTAGATACTTGGTTGCTGGACTTTAAAGCTTCCTCCTACTCAACCTCCATTAATGGAGTTAGATCTTCCATCACCTTACTGACCACCTTCTTCTCCTTTGGTTTCTTAGTCAGTAAAATTGCTTCCACGAAGTCATCCAATGCATTCACGCGCTTAAAGATATTACAACAAAACCATAACCCGATTTAGTAAAACCAAGTTGATTAAAAACAGTTTGGATTGTTGAAAATTGAAACGGTTTACCTTCATGTCAAACCAGAACCTAACGTTCATGTACCCCTATTCTCTGACTTTTCCCGTCCAGGAGTGTAGTAAGTGAACTGGACTGGATCATCCCAAAACAGACCATGTTACTTGAGACATAGATTACTTTAATATGAATCTTCTTCCACATGCCATCTCATATGCCATCTCATATGATCGATTGCTCTTCCACTGATGGAACATAAGCATTTCAAGAAACAGAGCAGTCATCAACTCTTCTTAATCAAGAAGAATTTAAAGGTAAGATTGAGGAGAAATGGTACTGTTATGCGTAAAGATGCGGTTAAGCTTTATGCTCGATTCAAACATAGTTTTTATCAGAAACTTAGACATTAACTTACTATCGTGTGATGGTTTCATTGATCCTTCAACACCTTCTCTCTGGGCTTTTGAGCAAATTTTCCATCGAACCAAAAGAACTCTGTTCCTCTTCTTCTTAAAGGAATCTCCAGAAGATCCAAAAATAAAGTATATTGGCTTAAAGACAATGCTCTTCTCCCCAGTACGGTCGTACCAGACATCTTGATATTCTCTAACGATTTGGGCAGATCTTAAACCGTTGAAGACTCTTTCCATTTATTTACATATCAACACGGAATAACCACTGCATGGATGTGATTTGTTTTCTTCAGTAATATCCTACAGATTGCTTAAGATATTAGTATCTTACGATAATCTACTTTTTAAAACAAAAACATTGTTGAAAACTAAAACCGACTCAAGTATAAATCTTACATATGAGATTTGACTCAAATGGTATAACACATAAGCTTTACCTGTCTCCATTATAGACTCTCATTTCAATATACTAAGCAGCCTTTATCTTAGTATTGTACCATCAATGAATTTCCCTTTATATGTAGATTCATACCTTCTCTTAAACAGAGCATTTGTAATCCTTTTATATGTTGAAAAATCTCGATTGTAATACAGAATCTGCAACCAAAGCTCCCTTGCTTATGGCCAACACCATTTACAGACGCAAACTCAGCTTGTAAAGACTTTTACTTCAAATCATCATCTGCATTTGTTTGAGCCTTGTCAGATTAAAACGTCAGAGGAACTTAACAATCAGAAGAAGCAAACATCATATTAATAAGATCACATACTAATTAAGGTCACCTTATGTAAATAAAAGTAAAAAATAAAAGGTTGTTTTTTTAAAGCTTCTTGAGCTACCATGGCGTGAAGAAGAACCAAAATCAGGCACCTGGGGATTTCTTTGTCAAAAAATCAAATCAGAAAGAAAAACTTTCGAGATGGCCATTTGTCAGAAAAAAAAGCTTGCTTTGTTGGGTTCAACAAATCGAGAGATGGTTATGATTTGTAAATACTTCCCTATTATTGGAATCACCAATAATTAACTTATAGATTCCAGTAGATCGATGTTTTATAAAGTATTATAAATCACTTTATAAGACCTTATGAATCAATTTAAACACTATTGTAAATCAAAATATAATCTCTTATTAATTAGTTTATAAGATTTCATAAATCAGTTCATGGACCCTTATAAACCTCTACAAATGATATATAAGTTTTTATATATAACATAATAACTCGTGAATGTTTTATAAACTATTATAAATTATTTATAAATGTATTATCCCACGGGAAACTGAACGAGTTCAGATGGAGATGGGAAATTTAGAAGTTAAGCAGGACATATTATCTTATTCGAGTATGGTATCTTGCTATTGATGATTCCGATCTTGGCTCATATAACTTATTTATAAAAGTTTACAAAATTATTTATAAGAAGTATACACTTATTTATAAGAGCTTATAAATTTATTTATAAATATTGATAAGTTATTTAATAATGTTTATAAAATGAACTTGAATTTTATGAGTTTAAGATTATATAAACTCTTACAAAATGATTTATAAACTCTTATAAATTGATTTATAAACCCTTATCTTTTTTTGTGAACTTGTATAAATTAATTTATAAACTCTTATAAATAAAGGGAAGTTATGAGTAATGTCTTAATATGATTTTTAATCCATATAAATGAATTTATTAACCCTTAAATGATTTAGTTAACCCTTGAAATGATTTATAAAATCTTATAATGGTTTATAAATTCTAAAAATGGTATATAAACCTTTATAATCAATTTAGTAGATCTTATAAATGATTTATAAACTTTTATAAATGATTTGTAAACCATTGTGAATCATTTATAAATGATTTATAAATTACACATATATTCGTGATGCATTTGATTTTTTAAATAGTTTTGTAAATCTTGCTGTGGGGTAGTTAGCAAAGCCTTCTTTCCTCATAACGGTTAGTCTACAACCTCGGTAGTCTCCAATCCGAGGTTGTGCCTTCCTAATCTTTGACGCCCTGCATAATGTTTCAATGAGAGCACTGTAGGAGACAACATCACATAAAGAACCGGTCCCGTTGAAGGTATTTCTCCAAGTGTTCTTTCTACTGTACCGTTGTCTAGAGTTGAGAGAAAGACTGGAGAAACAACAACGACTAGCAATCTGAGACACTGAAAGTTAATAATACTTCAGTCTTTTCTTACAGTAACAGAAGCAGGATGTTGTGTTCTAGTCAAAGCTCTGAACTCACTTACCTTTGTGATTGTTCAAACTCTTTGAGCTCAAAGGGAGTAGGCAGAGTGTAATCATAAATGTAATCAAGTTTCTTCCCACGTCGATAATAATATGTAATCTTAAGAGTAGTCGCCAGATCTACCCCATCCTCCTAAAAAGGAGATATTAGCCACACCTCTTTGGTGCTGAGCCTGTAACAATACTTCTTGTTATCCGTTGGAAAATCTTTTCTCCTAGTGTACTGCATAGAGTTTGAATTGGTACTGGCCAAAGTTACTGGCTTTCCGTGTGTGATGAACATCTTCTAACATCGGTCATCACTGGATTAAGCAAAACACATGAGTGGACCACACGAGTTATACTGTCTACGTTTCAGTATAGCATACTTAGGGCTGGTACTACCCTAAGTGTGAGAACCCATTACAACATCCTTACTTCCAGGGTTAGTAGCACTTCTTGCATCCCCTTCACTGCCACCTGAAGAAGAGACTTCATTTTCAGATTGAGTTTCTGCTTCTTCCTCTTCTTCAAAGCCCTCGTTTTCCTTAGGAACATACTTGATTTCCTCAACTTCATTCCTATTTCAATCATTTGATCCGCTTGTTGAGTCATCATCTCCCTCACCGCTAATGCTTGCCTCTGGAGTATCCCCATAAACCTTATACACATTCCCATTCTCATCAAACCTCACAGTTTTCACCACCTGGCTCTTCCCTCCACTTCCTTTCACTAAAACCATCTTCCTAGCTTTCAAACCACGCTGCTTCTTTTCATCATCCCTACATACCACCAGCCTTTCTTCCTCGCCACTATCAACTGAATCATCCTCAGCACTCGACGTTACATCATGCTTATACACATTCATGTTCTTGTCAAACACCATGGTCTTCCTAACCCTGAGGCTTCACTACATTGGCTCCAGTTCTAAACTTAGAGCTACCACTCTTTCTCTTACCAACAGAGACTTCTTCACTATCATCACTAGCAGAGTCCAACTCTTCATCCTCATCACAAGTAACAAACACCCTACCCATACGGCTTCTCAACTTTTCTCTTTTCAGCTACAATAAAACCCTGAGGCTTTTTGCTGTGGCTACCCACAAAAACTGTAGATTTATGATAAGCTCAGCTTATCCTAACAGAAATGAAGATAAGGAAGAGAGAGAGAGAGAGAGAGATAAGAGAAAGATTCTTTGATTAATTATCTGATAAAACATCATTAAGGGTAACGTTCCCTTTAAGTAGCCGTACACAAGCTAAACGACTTCGTATTATTATGCAAGTAATAAAGATAACGACTCATGATAACCCTCCTTCTCTGAAGGAGTCTTTCCCACACTTCAACACTTCTTCTTCTCNTAAGTAGCCGTACACAAGCTAAACGACTTCGTATTATTATGCAAGTAATAAAGATAACGACTCATGATAACCCTCCTTCTCTGAAGGAGTCTTTCCCACACTTCAACACTTCTTCTTCTCAGCCACTAAGTTGGTCCTTCTTCTTCTTGGACCTAAGCCTCTTCTGAACAAAGGCTAAAGGCACAGCTAACTTATCAATACCCCCCCGTAAGAGACTCAGCTTGTCCTCAAGCTGAAACTGAGGATATTGCTCCTTCAACTTCTGAACTGATTCCCACGTACACTCAAAATCCGGTAGTCTTCTCCACTTGACCAACACTTCGACTTGCTTGTTCTCCTTTGACCTCCTGATCTCAAGTAACTCTTGTGGCTCAGTGTTCCACTCAAAGGAAGATGTTAGGATTAAAGGGAGCTCCTGAACCTGCTGGTTAGGTTCTATAGCCTGCTTCAACTGAGAGACATGGAAGACAGGATGTATGGCACTCTGAGGAGGTAAAGCCAATTTATAAGCCACCTTACCAATCTTCTGCGTCACCTGATAAGGGCCAAAGAACCTAGGAGCCAGCTTCTCTACTCGCCTCATTGCCACAGTCACTTGGCGATACGGTCGCAGCTTGAGATAAACCCAATCCCCAACATTGAACTCCACGTCTCTGCGCTTCTTGTTTGCAGACGCCTGCATCTTATTCTGAGCAGCTGCTAAGTTATCACGCAACTCCTTAATCAACTCATCCCTGCTCTGAATAAGCACTTCGACCTCGGCATTTGCTGTCGGAATGTCCCCAAACCTCAACAACTTTGGAGGGTCCCGACCATATAGAGCACGAAATGGAGTGGTATTAGCAGAGGAGTGGAAAGAAGAGTTATACCAGAATTCGGCCCAAGGCAACCACTGAACCCAAGACGACGGTTTCCTCCCTGCAAAGCAGCGCAGATACGCCTCGAGACAACGGTTCACCACCTCGGTCTGTCCATCAGACTGTGGATGGTATGCGGTGCTCTTGTGCAGGGTTGTCCCTTGGCTTTGAAATAAAGCGGACCAGAAGTTGCTCAGGAATACCTTATCGCGATCAGACACCATTGTCTCCGGAAAGCCATGTAGCCTGATTACCTCCTTGACAAACACCTCAGCTACAGACTTTGCAGAGAATGGATGCTTGAGAGGAATGAAGTGTGCGTATTTTGTCAACCTGTCCACAACTACCAATATCACATCGAAGCCCTTAGATATCGGAAGTCCTTCCACAAAATCCAGGCTGATATCAGACCACACCTGGGTGGGAATAGGCAGTGGAGACAACAAGCCCGCTGGGGACAGAGTGGAATATTTGTTCTGCTGACAAACAGCACACGCCTTAATGAAATCAGTGATGTCTCTCTTCATGCCTCTCCAGTAAACTTCCCGCGCCATCCTTTTAAAAGTCTTTAACACTCCTTCATGACCCCCAATAGCACTGTCATGGATTTGTCGCATCAAAGAAGGAATGAATGGGGATTTCTCCGGTATCACCAACCTGTTATCTTTGAAAAGAACTCCATCAGCCACACTGAATCCTTCTACTACTTCCTCTCCCTTCAGAACCTTTTGAATTATTTTCTGCAGCTCCTCATCCTTCTCCACTTGAATAGCTAACTCCTCTCTATCAATGGTCAAAGGAGCTGTTAACTGAAATTCCAACAATTCACCTGCCTTAACTGCAGACTCAGTCCTCCTCGACAAAGCGTCTGCGACCCTGTTGTCCTTCCCAGGCCTGTACTCAATCGTGTAGTTCAGTCCCAGCAGCTTAGAAGCCCATTTCTGCTGCTCCACTGACACGGCCCTCTGCTCCAAAAGATGTCGGAGACTCTTCTGGTCAGTCCTAATGGTGAACGGGTTGCCAGAGAGGTAGTGACGCCATTTCGTAACAGCAAACACTATGGCCAACAACTCCCTTTCATACACAGACTTCACACGACCCTGGCTGGAGAATCCCTTGCTAATGAAAGAAATTGGTCGGTTTCCTTGGGATAAAACCGCTCCTATTCCCGTGCCAGAAGCATCAGTTTCGACTGTAAAAGGCTTGGAGAAGTCGGGTAAGATTAGCACTGGCAGCTGGGTCATGGCCTCCTTGAGCTGCTCGAAAGCTCGGGTAGCTTCCTCAGACCACTTGAACCCATCCTTCTTGAGTAAGTCAGTGAGGGGGCGTGCAATTCTCCCATAACCTTCTACGAACCTTCTGTAATAACCTGTCAGCCCTAGAAATCCCCGCAAAGCAGTTACATTCTTAGGCTGAGGCCACTTCTTCATGGCTTCTACCTTCTCCGGATCCGCGGTCACACCCCACTTAGTTATGATATGACCCAAATAAGCTACCTTGTACTGACCGAAAGCACACTTCTTTTCATTGGCATAGAAGCTATGTTCTCGTAGTACCTGTAGCACAAGCTTCAAATGGTCCTGATGCTCCTTCTCATTTCTGCTGTACACCAGGATATCGTCGAAAAAGACTAAGACGAACTTCCTCAAGAAGGGCTTGAAGATGTCATTCATGACCGATTGGAATGTAGCAGGAGCATTAGTAAGCCCGAAAGGCATTACCAAAAACTCGTAGTGACCCTCGTGTGTCTTGAAAGCAGTCTTCCCGACATCTTCACCTCTAACTCGAATCTGGTGGTATCCAGATTTCAAGTCCAATTTCGAAAAGATCGCAGCACCTGCCAACTCATCCAGCAGCTCCTCTATGACCGGTATTGGATATATGTCCGGTATAGTACTCTTGTTGACAGCACGGTAATCCACACAAAATCGAAACCCCCCGTCTTTCTTCTTCACCAGTAGGACTGGGCTAGAGAAAGGACTGATACTTGGCCTAATTATACCTGCTTGCAGCATCTCTTGAACCAGCTTCTCGATCTCATTTTTCTGAAAATGAGAATAGCGGTATGGCCTGATATTAATCGGAGAGGTTCCATCTTGTAAGGTGATAGCATGCTCCCGAGATCTTTTTGGTGGTAACCCTTTTGGCATGTTGAAAACTCCCTTGAACTCTTGTAAGAGCTTCCTGATTCCAACACTCGGCTCTTTAATGAGTTCCTGTTTGTCCCCATGCTCAAATAAGGTCTGTAGCTCCAACAACATCACCACATCTTCCTTCTCACATAACTTCTCCATTGTGTTGATGGAAACCTGATCACGCAACAACGCTGGGTCACCTTTGAGAGAAACCCACGTGTCTCCCACCTGAAAACTCATCACGTGTAACCCCCAGTTGATCCTCATTTCTCCCAACCTTTCCAGCCAAGTATATCCCAACACGACATCGATGGATCCCAACTCAAAAAGCAAGAACTCTTCCAAGATGTCCACCCCTTGAATATGTAAGTTAGGATTCACACATTTACCACTTCCGTAGATAACCCGTCCATCTCCAATCGACACTCCAAACTCGTGGGTTGGTACCACTGGTATTCCCAACTGCTTCACCAAACTCGTCGATAAGAAACTGGAGGACGCCCCTGAATCAATAAGTATTAACACCTCCATTCCTCCTAAATTCCCTATCAACTTAAGAGTTCGCTTAGAAGTGATTCCCGCCATGGTCTGTAAGGAAAGAACATGGAGCTCCTGCGAGTGTGGTTGAGCCTTCTCCTGGTTCTCATCTGAGTCCTGCTCCTCCACCTCTTCACGCTCAGAGTCTTCATCCACCTCCATACATTTAAACCTTTGGTAAGCTTTACAACGATGTCCAGTGAAATACCTCTCACCACAGTGGCGACAAGGGTTCTGGACCATCTTCTTTTGCTCCCCTTGCTTATGATCTCGCGGTGAATCAGTAGACTTCCTGGCTGTGGTTTGCTCACTCTGCTTGGAGAAACTCGAATTGTAGTTTCGTGTTCCCGAGTTTAGAGCAGGAGCCGAGTTGGTGCGCTGGAAAGATCTAGAGTGGTAAGCGTTCTTATCATTCTCTTGCTCTTCAATGATCTTTGCCATGTCCACAATCTCATCCATCCCAATCGGTCTGAGCCTCACCACTTGTTCTCGCAAACTCCGTCTCATCCCGTGTAAAAAGATTTCTTCCAATACATCATTTGGAACGTGAGGTACCTCCGCTGAAAGCTCTTCAAACTCCTCACGATACTCAGTAATCGAACCCGTTTGCCTCAACCGCAACATCTGGCTAACCACAGTACCACCACGAGATGGCTTGAACCTCTTTCTCAACTTCTGTTTAAAATCACGCCAATCCAAAACCTCCTCCCTGTCCTGAATCATCCTCAACCAGGGTACCGCACAACCAGTCATACAAGCCATAGCCAGAGATAGTTTTTCGTCTTCTAGAGTTAGGTTGACAGAAAAACATTTCTCCACACGAAAAATCCAATCATCAGGGTTTTTACCACAAAAATCGGGTAGATCTACCTTCTTAGGAGACGTTTCACTCTTCGCCTGCTGTGTATACCCTGAGTAATCAGCTCTGGTGGGTGAGATGGTGAGCCCTTTCGACTTCGCAAACCCCAACCCGTCTGGAACAGGAAGAATCCCCTTCTCAGATCTGATCGGTGAGTCACGAGTATTCTGACTGGATCCTCCTTCCTCGAAGTGCCTCTTCTCATCAGAAACCACCGCCTTCGAGCCCGAGTTTCCCGTCGACTTATCTGGCTCCGGTTGGATCTGCGGTTGAAGTTGCTTCAGCAAGGCCATAAGCTGATTTTGCCGCTCATCCGCCTTTTGTTCTAGCTCCAGGAATCGTTGGTTTGTGGCTTCGGAATCCGCCTTCATCTGCCCTTCGATCGCCGCGATTCTTTCCGCGTTCGCTGCGTTAGAATCCGTCTTCGGGGCCATTTTCAGGCTCTGATACCAATGATAAGCTCAGCTTATCCTAACAGAAATGAAGATAAGGAAGAGAGAGAGAGAGAGAGATAAGAGAAAGATTCTTTGATTAATTATCTGATAAAACATCATTAAGGGTAACGTTCCCTTTAAGTAGCCGTACACAAGCTAAACGACTTCGTATTATTATGCAAGTAATAAAGATAACGACTCATGATAACCCTCCTTCTCTGAAGGAGTCTTTCCCACACTTCAACACTTCTTCTTCTCNTAAGTAGCCGTACACAAGCTAAACGACTTCGTATTATTATGCAAGTAATAAAGATAACGACTCATGATAACCCTCCTTCTCTGAAGGAGTCTTTCCCACACTTCAACACTTCTTCTTCTCAGCCACTAAGTTGGTCCTTCTTCTTCTTGGACCTAAGCCTCTTCTGAACAAAGGCTAAAGGCACAGCTAACTTATCAATTTACTAACGTATCCATACCTTCTAACAACACAATCATCAACGTACTGCAGAATCCTCACCAAATCTCTGCTCAAAGATCTCTTACTACTCCTTATCATTGGATCAACCCTACCCTAAACACAGAACCAAACAATACTAAATCAAAACATCTTTTTTTTTATATAAAGGACAAAACTTTATTCACAAAAAGTCAAAAAATACCTGAATAGAATCCAATTGAAGGAGAAAGTCTGTAGCTTTCAGAGAAACAACTTTAAAACTGAAAATGGGTTTCCCTGAAACCGAAGACTTGAGAGACAAGAAGCTAGATTTGATCATCGCAAGCTCCTTGAGATGTCTGAAGAAGATGGATCTGTAAACAAGGTAAGATCGGAAATGGGTTTGGATAACTCTTGCTGCAGAGTCTTTAACTGTGGAGAAGTGTCGGTCACGACGTTTGTGGTCGTGGAAAGATGCGAACTTGTTGAGAGATGACTCGAGGTTATCGATTTTGCGGAGGAGACAAGAGAGGACGACGACTTGGTCTTGTTCTTGTGGGATGTTCTTGTGGTTTCAGGACCAGGTATGGTCGGGAACAGGAAAGTTTGGAGATCTCTGAAGCTGGAGAGTGTGGGGCTTGCAGGCTAATTGAGAGAAGAAGGACTCCAAGCAATCCAAGCAGAGCTCGTACGCGAAGAAGAGGTCTCCGGCGGGTGAGGAGTCGTGGGGTTGGGGATTCGAGAGGCGTTTGGGGAAGAGGGAGATTGATTTGTTGAGGAATGGGAGGAATTTTTTGGCGAGGGATCGGAGTTTGTCTTGTTTACGGGAGGTGAGAGGGTGGAGGTAGTCGGATAAGGAGGTGAAGATATCATCGGAGGAGGAGGATCCAATGAGTGAGAGGAGACGGTGGTCATCGGAGGACGACATTTTTTGTTTTCGAAATTTGATTGACGACTGATGTAACTGTAGAGAAGATAGAGCAAGGATAACATTGTCTTTGATCATTAATGAATGTGTGTACTTATGGAAATGTCCCTTGATTGGTGATAAAATTGAATAGTGGTATGAAAAAAAAGTGTATTAGTTGAATTTTCCCTTCTTTTAAGAATAATTGTTTCATACAAAATTTGAAAACATTTCAAAAAAATTGAATTATTCTGTAATTTTAAATTTTGAAATTTTTTTTATATTTATTTATTTATATATATAATAAATAGTTGATTAAAATTATAAAGATATAATTTTTGTTTAACATTTTTTAACTTTTACTATCAAAATACAAAAAAACTAATATTGATCCCATGTTTCGCATGAGAATGTTTTTGCTTGCAAATAAACAAACTAAATTCCATTAATAAAAAATGTGTAGACATAAATAGCATTAACACACTTATCATCAATTAATCACAAACATATAAAATTAAGTTTGATTTTTTTATGAAAATTTACATTGATCTTAAATAGATTGTTGAAGATGAATATTGGTTCAAAGCAATCATGTTTACTTTATTTGTTTCTTTCAATTATTTTCCCTTATTTATGTACCTGCAATATATGATTTTGGCTTATTACGTTATTAAGTCATTCAGTATCCATCAAGCAAATCAAAATTAATAATCAGTGCATAATAATAGAAAAATAATTATGAAACCAAAGTTACTAAACTTTTTTAGTTTGAGAGTGTGTTCGTTTCGACTACGTAGTTAATGCATGCTACGATAATTTTTAAATGTATATGAGACAGCTTATAAGCTCACGTCAGAGATAACTCAACCATGAAAAGTAGACTAAATACATTTCTATGGACATGTTGATTTGAAATCATAGTAAAAGAGTTATAATTATAAATGGACAGTGGTGCAATTGTTTGAAGAACACAGATGCATAATGGTTGTTTAATCTGAAAACGGTATTGTATTGGGGGTAGACAAATTTGATTATGGGGTTAGGAGAGGTCTTTATACTGAGGTCGAACTAGATAAACAGAGAGTAAGAGAAGGTTAATGGATTATGGCTGAACCCGCTGAAGGGCTGCCTACATACCCCAAAGGGGATCAAGCCAATTGTAGTTCTACAACAATGGGACACAAGTGCCTAAAGAAAGGTATGTGCGGGAGTGTTTCTCTCTCTAGAGAATGAGAAAGTGTGAGAGAGACCAAAAACAGAGCCCCCAATAAAGAGTGGATGCCTCTTTATTTATAGGAAGAAGAGGTCTAGGCTTCCTTGTAATCTCATTATTAATGGGCTGAGTCCATTATCTTCTTCCTATAAATAAAGAGGCATCCTCTCTTTATTGGGGGCTCTGTTTTTGGTCTCTCTCACACCTTCTCATTCTCTAGAGAGAGAAACACTCCCGCACATACCTTTCTTTAGGCACTTGTGTCCCATTGTTGTAGAACTACAATTGGCTTGATCCCCTTTGGGGTATGTAGACAGCCCTTCAGCGGGTTTAGGGTTTAGGGTTAATGGGCAAAGCCACAACCAACAGTAAGCCCCCCAGTTCGCTAAGAGAGATGGAATTGATCTCTGCGAACTTTACGAAGAGGTTTATAATATAATAGATTCAACGCTTTTCTACTTTGTTGACCCAGGCGAGTAGTACTTTTACTAGGCGAGTTGACAGGTGAACCCGTGCCTAGGACGCGAGTTGTACTCTTGCTAGGGATGTTTACTATGGAATCATCCTAGAAGCAGTAACTCGGCCAGTAACTCGTGCCCGAAAGGAGAGTAGTTGTACTCTTATTAGGCGAGTTAAGTGTAGACTTGTGTCTGGAGGAAGGCAAGTTTACTAACTCGTGCCTAGAAAAAGACGAGTAATACTTTTACTAGGTGAGCTGGCAGGTGAGCTCATGCCTAGGACGCAAGTTGTATTCTTGCTAGGGATGTTTATTATGAAATCATCCTAAAAGCAGTAACTCGGCCAGTAACTCGTGCTCGAAAGGAGAGTAGTTGGACTCTTACTAGGCGAGTTAAGTGTAAACTTGTGTCTGGGGAAGGCAAGTTTACTAACTCATGTCTAAAAAAAAGGATTCACGCATGGAGAGTAAACTTACGCATGAAGAGTAAAAGTGACAAGCAAAAGTGATGAAGTGAAACTTGGCTGAGCAAAAGTGATGAAGTGAAACTTGGCCGAGCAAAAGTGATGAGATGGTATCTTTGCCGAGCAAAAGAATTGCCTCCTCGTCAAAATAGCATTTGTTCATGATATTGGGCTTGTTGGGCTTCTTCTTTTTGCAAGGCCCAAGTTACACCTCGTCAAAATAGCATTTGTGCCGGTTACGGCGTGCTCGTCGGGAGAGCTTTAGGTCGGCAGAAACTTTTAGTTCGTGACAATCTCGTTTGAGCCGTGACGAGTAACAGAGCTTGGAGCCTGCAAGAAGCTTCCGATGATGGAGCTTGAAGACGTCGTGCTTGGTGAATAGGCCTCAACTTTTTGGTAACTAAATGCCGAGCAACGGCTGTTCCGAGTAAAATATATGACGATGTGATGAACTCAGTTTGCTTCTTGGCATCGAGTCGCATGAGTAGAGTTTGTTAAACCCTCACGAGTGACGGATGTTGATCAAGGCTTATCCGACAAGTTGAGGCAAGGCTATTTCTCGGCTTTGGTGGAGAGCTTGAATGATTTTAGTCGGCAAGACAATGACGGATTGAATCTGAACTGTTCGAGGCGTCTCGTCTCCATTGTGCTCTTGGTTGTGCCGAGTAAAAAAAAAAAGAATAGAAGATTGTTCTTCTCCTCGTCATGAGCCGCAAGATGGTTGCGGTGACAAGGTTGATGAAGATGAGCCCTTAGAGCATAATTAGCGTTTAGTCGTTGGGGGCAAACGGCGAGTAACTAAATGATTATTGCGACGAGTAACAGAGCTTCAAATGCTGCGACGAATAACGGAGCTTCAAGCTGGCGACATACAGCCATTGATGAAGCTTGAAAATGCTTTCTTCTACTAGTTCTGGGCTAATGATCTTTGTGCTACAAGCGATGAACCTCTAAGTCGGCGGTGAGAGATAGAGCTCGCATCGGCTTTGATCTCGAGGTGACATCGGGACTTTTAGTCACTAGGGCTCTTAGTCGGCAAAGCACGACCACACTACTGTTGAAGCTTAAAGACGGTTATGACGTTGTCTTGTGCCGAGTAACAGAAGAATATATGAATAATTCTCCAATCACGTGAGCCACTGAAATCAAAGCAAAGATCTGATTTTTTTTTTTTTTAAATCATTCTTTGCTAAGTCTTCAAAATCGATGAAAAGACCACTAATGAGATGCCGAGCAACTTGATGCTGAGCTAGCTTATGATCTGGTTGCGACGAGGTGGTCCACGTCCCGTGAGAATCAAACGAGCTCACAACTTGAAACACGTCCGAGCAAAAGTGTTGACGAGATCATATGGTCGCCTCCGTTTCTCGGCAACGATGGCGAGAGAGAGAGAGAGAGAGAGAGACAAAGCTTAAAGACGTCGTAATTAGACCTCTGCTTTTAGTCGGCGTAAGCTTTGATTGGCAAGAGGTTTTAGCCGGTGGTTTTTAGTGGCAAATGAATTCCGCTGTAGCTTGACTTGTGACGACGCAAGATCATGGGGACGAACGGTGATTATGCAATCGACAAAAGGGTTGGGAGTGATGACTCCTTATGTTGATGACTGCTCCAAGTGATTTTGTCGTTGGGGGCAAATAGCGAGTAATGAGACGAGATGAACTTTGAACCGAGGCGCATGAAAGAGGCTTTGAGTTCTCGAGGAGCTTGCTTCGGTCATGGCATGCTTGTCGGGAGAACTCACTGGAAGAAGCAGGACCTTGTTGGAGAGCTTTAGGTTAGCTAGACCATGGCGAGCTTTGTGCGTGAGTCGGAGAGCTTTACGTCGGAGTTCCGTTACCCGGTTTCTAATGACATAAAGCTTGTGACTTCTACTCGGCATGATCTTGAAGACATCATCTCTGAGAACGAGTGAAAAGAAGTTTCGAGACAACTTCCGCTCTTTTATGGTGAACAAAACGGAACCTGTAGCTGAGAAAAAGATAAAAGCTCTTCCGCGTTGATGGCGTCCAAACCTTTTACTCGTCTTGAAGTCTCCTTTTTCTTTTTCTTTTTATTTAAAGGAGTGAAATCATGGCCGAGCAAAATGAAGGCGAGAGACCCTGATCGCGTCACTCGTCAAATCCCCGAGAAAGAGATGAATGTTTGTTTCCTTGTCATGACGAGAAACGGTGTTGTTGAGATAACGAAGCAAATATTCAAGTGGGCCGAGAGACTAATTTAATTGTCTTCTAATCAAACATCAAGTAGGCCTGAAATGATGTGTGCTTGGGCTACTCCAAAGTCGAGAAGGTTGTATGGTAGACTCGCTCTCTTCTTTGTTGTTTTTTTGTAGCCGAGAATAAAAAAGAATATGGTAGGTCCCAGCCTTTTTTTTTTGACCACACATATGCGTGACGACTAATGGATGCGTGACGACCAACCAATGGACGCGTGACGATCAATGGACGAGTAATGAGATGAGACGACGACCTCGTGACCAGATGAGATAACGAGCTCGTGACGAGATGAGACGACGAGCTCGTGACGAGATGAGACGACGAGCTCATGACGAGATGAGATAACGAGCTCGTGACGAGATGAGACGACGAGCTCGTGACGAGATGAGACGATAACCTCGTGACGAGATGAGACGACGAGCTTGTGACAAGATGAGACGACGAGCTCGTGACGGGATGACGTGACGAGATGAAACGACGGCCTCGTGACGAGATGAGACGACAAGCTCGTGACGAGATGAGACGACGAGCTGAGCTCGTGACGAGATGAGACGACGAGCTCGTGACGAGATGAGACGACGAGCTCGTGACGAGATGAGACGACGAGCTCGTGACGAGATGAGACGACGAGCTCGTGACGAGATGAGACGATGAGCTCGTGACGAAATTGT